TCTTCCGCCCCACCTGACACACACCTACCCCACGCCCACCTGACACACACACACACCCCCCCCCCCCCCCCCCCGCCCCCACACACACACACACCACCACCATTTGCATTATGGCATTGATCAATTAAGCCCTGGGAGAGACACACAAAAGGGCTGCTCCATGCTGTAACTTTTTTCCTTTATGGCCCTTACAGGGCTCCGTACTAATTTGTACGACCAAAACATCAAATAAAACAGCAGCTTCAATGTAACACCCAAATAATAAAAACATAGTGTGGAGAAAAAAATAGGATTGCTCAAAGGTTTATTAAAATAAAACAACAAAATATAACAGAGGATTAGATGGTTCATATCAAATGACCCCTACAAAGAAGATATAACTGATGGAAGCAGGAATAATCTCTTACAATGATTGCAAACAGTTCCGTTTCAACAACACATTTTTAAAAATTCTTGATTTTTTTTTTTCCTTTTTATTTTCTGTACATCTGAGTTTTGTTTATTGAACAGATGTGCGTGCTGAGCGCATGACTGTTGGCTCTTAACTTACACAGTGTTAGATTTAAAAACACAAAGATGAATTTAAAACAAACCATGCCTGACACAACCTGTGTTTTAGGGTAAAAATGTTTCAATTAATAAAATAACTGTTATGAGGCTCGTGGTCTAATGGATAAAAGTTAACTTGGGCCCCAAGCCAGAAATAAAACAAACAAAAAAAAATCAACTAAATCTACAATCCAGCCTTTTCTCAACACATTCTAAAATAAAAACAATATTTTTAACATTCTTAACAAGTGTACACAGGAGTTTTGTTCTAAGTTAAACAGGTTGGTGATTGTCCAGTCCAAACAGAGATTTCTGCTGGAAAAGGAACAGAAAGTGAGACTCCATCCTACAGGACAGACCTGCCAGCTGGTCTTCGACAGACCTGCCAGCTGGTCTTTGACAGACCTGCAGTCTGACTGATGAAGATTAACAGTTTTTATTAAAGAATTCAAGCTGACAGGAAGCACAAATGGGCTGAAATGAAAAGGACTGACCGGGATCATTTTGGTTCATGATTCCATTACTTTTCTGTTTAATTCTTCTGAAAACAATTTAAACACAGTTTAAAACAACCAAGTGCTCTTGTCAGAAATGTAAGGCGGGTGATATTTTACTGACATGCTGCTGGCTCTGTTGTCCATTAGTCATTACTCTAATCATCACAACTAAACATCCAGCCCTAAAACCAGAATGTCACTGGACTCATTCTGAACAGATGCAGCCTGGTGAGACATGGCCTGCAACTTCATGCTAAAACTAATGTTAAACCCACAGAAACCCTTTTGGACTCGTAAGAACCACAGTCTGGACCTCAGGACTCTGTGATCTGTCAGTTGTTGGTACCCATAACGATATAAAAACACAAGCAGCAGTAGACGTCATGGCATCCTCAGAAGTTTTCTTTGTAGAAGTTGAAGCCAAAGTTTTCACACTGAGCTTTGATAGCTTTGGCCAGAGATGGAGCACCGCAGTAAAATACATGAACTTTCCCTTTATTCTCCTGAGAGAGTTTCTGAAACACCTGCAAGACACAAAGACGCACACAACACAACATTATGGTCCAGAGGCGGCAGCAGCTCGGAACCATCAGAGGACAGATGACTGAAGTCCTACCTTCTCCCACTGGGGTCGACCTGGCTGGGTTCTGGTCCTCAGGCCCGTGATGGAGTCCTTCTTCTCCTTCTTGGCCAGCAGGTCGAGCGCCATCTGCAGGCCGATGGCCTTCATGTCATTCTTACTGAGCGCGGACGTCATGTACATGTGCATCTCCAGGAAGCGACCTGAAGAATCAGAATTCAAAAAGTCTGTCTGAAATCAGCTGTTCTGAAATCAAAAGATTCAAAATCAGATGTTTAGAAATAAAGGATTCAGCTCGTGTCTCGTGAACCACTGGGCACATTTTTAATGAAACCTTTAGAAAATAATCACTGGAGGTGTAGCTGATAAGCTTTTAACAGTCAAACCAATTAAAGATGGCCGCCACAGTTAACAGTTTCTGTGGCGCATGAGAACGCTAGGCCTTTATTTAAAGTTCGTTTTAGAACTCGAGACTCATCGGTTTTTGTAATTCTAACTGAGGAAGCTGGTCCACCTTCGGGCTCCTCATCAGCCTGGTCCAGCTCCAGTTTGGTCAGCAGACTGACGAACCACTCAAAGGCCTTCTGGTCCCGGTTGATCCAGATGAAGTCAACCTGCAGGGAACAAACACACGAGTTCGGTTCTGATGGGCCGGATGAGGGAACATGGAGGCTGAAGGACGCCGGGCTCTTACTTTACGCAGCTTCATGTCGCTGTCTTTAATGTTTTCGCACCACGAGTAGTTACAGCTGGGACAGTGGTGCTTCCTCATCCGGTACCTGAGACAAACAGACAAACAAACAAACAAACAGACAAACAAACAAACAAACAGACACACCCAGGTCAGGCTACTTTCATCATGTGGTGAGCATCAGAGAAGAAATTAATTGTTCCTGGTGCAGTCATACAGTATTTGAAACAGATATTATTTGGTTGTTAGAAAAAGTAAACTGTGTTTTTTTATGATGTTATTGTGTAAAAATGTTTGTGGGAAAAACAATAGAAATACAAATTAAGTGGTTTTGGACGTGGACCAGGATCTAACCGGTACATGATGCTCTGCAGGATCGAGGCGAAGGGTGTGATGCCGATTCCTGCTCCGATTAGGACAGCGTGTTCAGAGGCGAAGATCTGCCGTGTCGGGGTCCCATACGGTCCGTCTACGTAGCACTGACACATAAAACAAACCCGCTCAGAACCACCTGAGAAGGTTCTCAGAGGACCTGTAGCTTCATGGACTCTGAAATATGACTGAATAAAACCTGAGAGAAAATCAGCTTCAACTGGATCAACCTCCTGATTTAAAACAACCAATCAGAGTCAGTGACTCATGTCAATCACTTCTATAGTTGCCACGGCAACCCAGGTCCTCTGCAGTCAAAGAGCTAAAGCACAGCAGAGAAGGATGTAGAGCTGCAGAAGATTGTCTTGTTTTTAACAAATCCTTACCTTGATGTTGCAGAATCTGTGGTTCTCACTGAACTTGGCCGACATCTGCAGTTAACAAGAAGTAATCAGAACCATAATGTGAAAACGTTATCATATAAACTTTTTGTAAAAAAGGACTAAAAGGAGTAAATGTTGTAGAGGATGATGTGTTCTTTTATCGTTATCAACTTTATTTTACGTTCCAATCAACACCTCTCTGAGTTGGACGACCTCTCCTCTTTCTGCTGGTCCCGGCTCATCCGGAGGCTGTGTTGGGGGGTCCTGAGACCCAGACTCTGAGGCTGCACCTGCTCCAGACTCCGAGCCATTCTGACGGAACAAGGTCAGCTCGATGGAGTCGTCCTTGTTGGACGCCACGGCTCTGTTGGCGTCAGAGGAGTTGAACATGTCGTCCTTCTGGAAGCATACAGAGAACTTTGAGTTCCTGCAGCCAGATGTTCCTCAGACGTTCCTCAGACGTTCCTCACTGACCTTCTCCTGCTGTCGGTGCCTCTTCAGACTCGTGGTCAGATTCTTGGGATGAAGGTCCTGACTCTCCGTCTGTCTGAAGTACTCATACAGACGGTTGGTCCACTGGCCCATGGAACGCACGTGAAGCCACAAAGTGTCTGCAGGTCAAAGGTCACAGAACAACAACCCTATGAGTGGTCTGAAACCCTCCATGCTGACCTTCAGAATCAGGTCTTAATACTCACACTGCAGGTCTGATCAATATTTAGGCTAATCAATAATTATTAATAACAAGAATGTGATTGAAATAAACCCTCCGAGAAGAATTACAAAACAATGAAATGGAACAAAAACGTCAATTTATAATTTATTCTTTAGTTTGATTGTTTAAAATCTAATTAACCCAACAACAAAAACAAAAAGGAAACTAGAACATTTCTGCACAAATGTTGAAGGATGATGATGCAACCCCTGCCGTCCATCAACCTTCTTTATGAATCGTCTGGACACAACAAACGTCTCTAAATCCGTTTAAAAATAAATGTGTGGCTGCAGGTCCATGCCAGACGCACCGGGCTGCTCCGGGGCGCTGCTGATGGTGAATGGGTGCCACTCGTACTTGGCGATCTTTGGGATGTTGATGTAGATGTAATCTCCAGGTTTGAACTGGAAGAACTGAGGACGTCTGATCACCAGGTGAGTCACCTGAAAGTCAGATAGAAGTTTGCTAACTCAAGTCTCTTTGTTTCTGAAAGAGGACGTCATGTTTAACGTTAAGATAAATTTAGTTAAAACAACATGTAACATATTACACCACGTCACCATTTATTTAACTAAAAATTGTAAAAATGGTTCTAGCCCCGTTGCTTCCACTGGACCTCAGAGGTTCAGGATCAGGAGCTGCTGATGAACCGATCCTCATCAGGAGGTTCAGCTGGTCTGGAGCATCCAGGTGTGTGTTAACACAACACCAAGGCAGAAAGACATCAGCAATGACTTCAAATAAGCAGAAGCTGCTGCTGCCAGTCAATAAGGGCAGGGTCAAAGGTCATTTGAAGTCTGTCCTTCTACAGAAAGATTATTCACACATGGAAAACATTTCAGACAGCTGATTCACCCTGAAGGTCAGACCTTGCAGTGACTCTACAGGCCTCAGTCAGCAGGTCAAAGGTCAAATGTCATGCCCTCTTCTCTCTAAAAACAACATGGCAGTACAACTTATCTTCGGACAGTTTCATCTAAAGGAACCATAAGACTTCTGGACCAGAACAAGACCAAAGTACAGATGTTTACCCAGAATGCACTGCAGCAAACAGCTCCTGCCAGCTGTCAGCACGGTGATGGAGGGCTGATGGTTTGGGCTCCTGTCAGTCAATGAGTAGTCCAGGAACTCCTCTGTAGACCAAAGGGTTCTGGAGCCAGATGTGAATCCATCTGTCCAACAGCTGAAGCTTGGATCAAACCGGGTCTAACAGAACCATGACCCCAAACACAGCAGCTGATCTACAACAGAACGGGTCAAAAAGGGTAGAACCAAGGACCAGTCAGAGTCTAGAACCTGAACCTGACTGAAACAATGTGGTGGACCTTCAGAGAGATAAACAGAACCCTCAATGAACTAAAGCAATGATGGAAAAAAAGAGTGGGCCAGAATTCCTCCAGAACCAGGAGAGAGGCTGATGAAGTCCTAGAGAGAACCACTAAGTGTTCAGGTTTTGGAGAGGTTCTGTTGGATCAGGAGCTGGTACCAGTTTTAGATGAATAAATAATGACTCAGTGGAACCTGTTGTAGGATTGTTCTGGAGACCTTGGACGGCAGCAGGTTGACCTCCACGATGTAAAGACCTCCCATTCGAGACACAGCGTTTCCTACGATCTTCTCCAGCAGGAAAACCAAACCTGGAACCACAAACCACTTCCAGAAGTTTGCACAGTGGATGATGAGGAGGATCCAGACCCAGATGTAGGACAGGTGGGTCCAGTAGAACACCTGGAGGAGACAAAACCCACAGAGTTACTGTGTGTCATATTCAATATGAAAGCTAACAGAACCAGCTTCATGTAGTCGAAGAGCTGTACTGAACCCGGACCTCGAAGTGTCCACTGCGTCGTACGAAGGTGCTGGAACAGATCACCATGAGGAAGATCAGCAGCTGCAGGATGACTCCGGTAAGAGACGCTGTCCCCTTCACCCAGCCAACCCCCGGTCTCGTGGTCAGCAGGTACTCCCACAGACTGAACTCACTGCTCGCTGACATCCGGGCTGAGACAACAGAACCAGAACACAGAACAGGCAGAACAGTCTGCTTCGGTTTTCTTTATGCTGAGTCAGCACATACACATTTTTTTTCCTGTTTTGTTTTCTAACTATTCCAGAATATTTAGTGCTATATTTGGTTATATATCAAAATATATATGAATCATTATTTCAAACAGCTGCTGAGAAAGAATGGGCCTTGTCTTGGCAATCTGCCTCAAATGAAAGAAACCAGATTTTATCTGTCAAATTTAAGATGAACATCAATTTTGACCCCTAAATTTGAGCTGATAAATTTGTGACACTTGGTTTGATGTACTGGGCGAAGGAAGCAAGATGTAAAGAGGCAGAACCATCGGGTTTTTTCCTCATTAAAATGAAAAACAATTAGGAACAACCAAGGCCGTCTCATTAAGGCAGTCAAAAAAAGGTCTAGCAGACAGAGCTTTTCATTTGGAGGCAGATAAATCTGGCTGTTGTCAGTTTAGCAGTGGAGAGGAACACTATGCTTCCTGAAAATGGAGCCACGAGGGAACAAACAGGTAATGCAATTATTAATTCTGCTAATGATAATTTTAGTTAAAAGCTATTGTTCTGCTAAATTACATAATTTTATGCAACATTTTGGTGTTAGCAAATCATTTGATACTTTTTTAGCTTTTAGCTATCACCGGTATTTAGTTTTTTTTGTTAGCCTTTCGCTATTTTTAAGTTTTGATAGTATTTTGCCACTTTTGGATTGCTCTGTTACTTTTAGCATTTAGCTAGCTTTTTGATCATTTTAGGTTTTAGATAGCCATTTGCTACTTGTAGCTTTTAGCTAGCATTTTGTTAGTTTTAGCGTGTGCTTTACTACTTTTAACTTTAACATTTTGCTTATTTGGTTAGAATTTTGTTACTTTTAGCATTTGACTAACTTTCTACTACTTTTGACTTTAAGCAAGCATTTAGCTATTTTCAGCTTTCAGCTCAGTTTCAGCTTCTAGTTCTCAGGTGTTGTTTTTTTTAATTTAGTTTGTTTGAGTATTTTGTTGCTGAAAATCAGTTTCTTCAGTACTTTAATAAAGTTGCACCTGCACAGTTAAACAAACTTTTGTCAAACTTGTTTTCATGGAAACAGTCAGGTCAGTTTTGTGTGTGCATGTGTACCAAAGTTAACAACGTGCGCGGCAGTGTGCACCACAGTGAAGAAGAGGATGGCGTAGCCCACGATCTGATGCAGCAGGATGTTCTGGTCCAGAGGTAGGAGCCGGACCACCCAGGTGGCTCTGATCCAGGTTAAACAGCGACGCAGCATCAGCACCTGGACACACACGGACAGGTGAGGGGGCCTGAACGGATCAGGACAAACTGAACCATGGTCTACTGTTCAGAACTCAAATGGACCTGGTTCTTACAGAACAGCAACAATCAGTTTGGATAAATTGGATCAGTACTCTGGGCCATCAGTTCTGTTGTCCAACACACGTGGACTTCTGCTGCCTCCTACTGGACAGAACGAGACACACCAGGCTCCTAACTGTTCAGAACTCCTGATCCAGTCCTGGCCATGGCCACTGTAAACATTTCTAAATAAGTTCTGATGTTCTGAAGGTCTTTCAAAGTTTGTCTTTGAACGTTTTTGACTTTAAGTCAATGAAAAACAGCAAAGATAAACCAGTTTGACAGGAAGGATTTTAGTTCCAATAACGTGATTCTCAAAGATCTGTTAGTTGAAGACTGAAGCATCTTTCAGGTTCTGGTTCTGGTCTTTGTTGGAATTTGGACATTCAGATTCAAACTTTCAGAAAGTTTTATTTTTAGACCTGATGGTTCATTTTGGTAGAGATGCCTCCTCTCAGTGAGAAGGTCACCGGTTCAAATCCTGGACTGGGGTCTTTCTGGGTGGAGTTTGCATGTTCTCTCCGTGCATTCGTGGGTTTTCTCCGGGTACTCCGGTTTCCTCCCACAGACCAAAAACATGCATGTTAGGCTGATTGGTGACTCTAAATTGTCCCTAGGTGTGAGTGAGAGAGTGAATGGCTGTTTGTCTCATTTGTCTCTATGTGTCCCTGTGATGGACTGGAGACCTGTCCAGGGTGTACCCCACTTCTCTCACAGTGTTGGTTGGACATGGGCACCAGTGACCCCCGTGACCCGAAACTGAAGAAGCGGGTAAATATAATGGATAATTCTTTTTGTTCTCCACTTGTCCAGTTTTCATCAGATATTTTAGAAACTTCATCCAGACCGGGCTGAGAAGTTCAGCTAACAGCTCGATCAGAATCACTTTATTGCTATAAAAGCAGAATTTGAGTCCTTTTCTGCGGTTCTGGTACCATGACGAAGGTGCAGTTGAAGTTGAGACACTGGCCACAACCCTTGGCCAGCATGAACCAGCCACCGCCGTAGCTGTGGTACAGAACGGCGCCAACAAACAGCAGCAGGTTCAGGAGGGCGTACACACACAGGAACAGCAGCTTCCGGCTGTTGTTCTGCCAGTAGGTCCGGGTCAGGTACCGATGGGTCTGAGGCTTCTTCTGGTCCACATCAGGAGGCTTCAGCCAGTTGGCAGCACTGTGGAGGAGAACCAGAGGTCTGCTGGTTCATGAAAAGTGTCTGATGGGACTCCTTTCTTCCCGCAGAACCTGCAGACGCAGTTCTAAAGGCTCACCTGATGGTCAGGTTCTCCATCACCTCTGGAAAGTTCTCCAGTTCAGCTTTGAGCTCCTCGAAGGTGATGGAACCGCTGTTGTCCTTATCAGCTGACTCGAACAGAACCAGGGTCAGGTCGTCCAGTTTCTCCTCTGGCAGAGAGATGGCACTCTCCTGCAGACATGACTTCAGAACCGTTTTCAGCTCATCTGGGTCGATGGAACCACTGCCTGTCAGCACAAACAACCAGGGCATTCAGAAACAGAACCCTGAAGATTCTGAAAGATCAGAACCTTTTGACCCAATATCTGCAGGTCAGTGGAACAAGTTCAGGACAATCAGACTGATCTAAAACCTTTTGTGTTATGATTCTGGAGGTCTGTGTTCTGGTTCTGGTGATCTGTGTTGTGGTTTTGGAGGTTTGTTTTGGTTCTGGAGGTCTGTTTTGGTTCTGGAGGTCTATGTTCTGTGAAACTGACCGTCTACATCGTAGACCTGAAACAGGAAGCGTAGCTTGTCGGTCTCAGTCCCGTGGATCAGGAGGTCCAGAGCTTTGAGCAGCTCCTCCAGACTAATGGACCCGCTCCGGTCCGCATCGAACAGAGAGAAGAAACGCTCTGCAAAGAAGGACTGACCACAAACAAGCAAAAACAAACAAACCAACAAACAAAGCGTTTGTAGCAGAATATGCTGAGAGCTGCTGCATCTCTGGAGAATCAGAGGAAGAGGAGCAACTTGCTGCATCGCTGCCTACAGAGGTCAGGGGCATTTGGCTAACTTTCTACTACTTTTGACTTTTAGCAAGCATTTAGCTATTTTCAGCTTTCAGCTCAGTTTCTTGTTCTCAACCCATCCTCTGAGGCCTGCTGGTCAGGAGAAGTTCAACCCATCTAATCCAAGGTCAGACTTTGATGATCAATAAATAAAATGTCAAATAGCTTCCTAAAGTCCAATTCTTGTTTTTTCAAAATAATTAAAATAAATACATTGAGAAAGGGGACAAGATGGCGGCGGCACTTTAGGTTGCGTTTTTGCTCGACTCCCGTCATTACTGCCTAAAAACTGCCTTTCGTGAGGATATTCTCGTTGCCTCTGCCTTGGATGTTTCAGTAATCGACATTGTCGTATGACTGACTCGTCAGAGCTGCAAAATGACATCCAAAGTAAAGAAATTCAAGGCCACGTGTTCTGCAACCACTGGGCCTGACACCGCCTCGAGCCATTGTGCTTCTAGAACCGGGGAATCGGCTCCGCCCTCACCAGGCTCCAGAGAGATCAACCCTGAACTCGGACATTCTGGCTTCAATAAGAACACACATTTTGGCGATAATTAGATTGGAGATTAAGGCTGCCCTGGCAGAGGACTTCGCTTTTATTAAGGGTGAGCTTCAAGTGGTGAAGCGGAGATCACTAACAGCATCACGGCTTTCAGGTATGGGACAGATTTGGACAGGTGTGGGACTGGTGCCCACTGGATTAGATGCTAAATTTTCTGTTTTGTGTTCGTCCTTTATGGCTACAAGATGTTAAACAAATAAAATTTGTACATTTTGAGCTTGTTTACGGTTCCACATTTTTCATGGTCTAAAATCTTCAAAGATAAACTTACAGCTGATTGGTTGGATTTTATTTCAGCTCTGAAAATAAACCTGAATTTATCCATCAGCTCCTGGCGTTTCTCACCTCTTTAACTTTCAGGGCAGTTTTAAACTCGTGGAGGTCGATCTCCTTGTCCTCTCCTGCGATGCTCTCAAACTGTTTAGCGACCCACTCCAGCCAGCGAGCGTCTTCGTCAGAACCCATGTTGCTGCAGAAACACATCCATCATGTAATATGCTCATTATTTGTTTGTGATCTAATTTGTTGCTGTTGTTCTCATTTTATGATTATTTATAAAAATCTGTTTTTACTTGCTGTAAAGCATTTTGTAACTTCGCAAAGCTTTTTGAGGATCCTGCTGATGATTAGAACCAGGTTTTTAGATAAATTTCACTTCTTTGTTTCCATAACCTAAACTCCTCATCCTTCAGCTTTTCATCTTTGGCTGATTTTTCTGCAGCTCTGAAACTGGAAAATGACATTTAAAAACTAGAACAGAAATGTTGAAGGTTCCATCAACTTTTCTTTTCTAAAGCTCAACAGGAACCTGGGGCGTCCTTTTTCATAATCCAAGCTGTGACAGAGCTAGCCTCTTATACTGAAGCTGGTTTATGAGATTTATTTTGAAACTCCAGGGTAAAACGTCTTCCTGTTTCCTGCTGACCCACTGACTGAATCCTTCTGGAACATCAAAATGGATGGAAACATAGGAGGAATAAAAGCATGCTCGGTAATACAGAAGAACCACAATTTGCTGAGTCAGTGGTTGCCATGGTGATTCCTGCTTTTCTGAAGGAGCAGAGAAGGCAGGGGCTGCAGAACTTTACAAGGCAGGCAAAAGGAAAAAACAGCAAAAAATAAGCCTCAGACAAAGTGTCTCTCTGTGGAAACTAGAAGTGGGATCAAATAATTTCTTGACCTTTGAGCAGCTGAAGGTTCTGATAGTACCACAGGTTCTGTCTGATGGTTCTACAGGGTTTTATAGAGAAGATATTACAAGTTAAAATGAGCCTTCACTTCCTGTTTGGAAGCAAAAACTGACCTCAGAAATGATGGAAGTCAATGAGAGTTTGGGAGTGTGACCTCTGACCTCTGGAGGTATTTGAGAGAAACCTAAGTCCTACAACAGAGACACACTGGATGGAAGAAGACAAACACCTACAATTGGACAACTGTAAAAGAAGAGTAAAGAATGTTTGCAAAATTATTGGAAAGTCAAGAAAATGTGACTTCATCAGACTCTAATTTGGACATTCTGTGATAAAATCAGTAAAAATCTTCCATTCTAACCTGTAGGGTTTCCAGCATTTCATGAAATCAAAATTCTCTGAGTAAATCCTGAAATTCTGTCGCACGAAACACTCAGAATTTAGCATCATAGGTGGCAGCAGTCACATTCGGAGATAACAGGAAGTAAACCGCAGCCTACAGTACATGCATATTCCTAATAATTAACTATACTGTATAATATCAGAAACTAAACAGCCAGTCTGTGAGGTACTGTGTACACTGAAGCAGAACATGGATTCAGTGTTACTAGCATTAATACTTGAACATGTTTAAATCTCAGAAAGATAATCGTTTAGTCAGAAGGTCAGCGATAAAATTTCCATTTACGTTGTCAGAAAAAATAAAGTTGTTTTCCAGGTTTTCCCTGATTTCCAGAATTGCTGGGAACTCTGACCTGTGTTTGTGCAAAAAGAGCTAAAAAAATTCAATTCAATTCGCTTTATTTATATAGCACCGAGTCACAACAGAAGTCATCTCAAGGCACTGAATAGAAACATTCATATACATAAAAAGTAAGTTAATATTATTTATCTGAGGAGCAGACTGCTATGAGTTTAACTTTGTCACAGACTCTCATCTTGAGCAAGCATGAAGGCAACCGTGGACAGGAAAAACTCCCTCATGAGGAAGAAACCTGTAGCAGAACCAGGCTCAGGACAAGCGACCATCTGCTTCGACTTCACAGTAGTTTCAAATAAACTTGTTGATCCTCTTCAGAGCACTGTGACAGGAATGTGTGTTTTACAGGAAGACCTTCACACAGAGAATTGATCAGTAACTACAGAAGGAAGACGAGGGATGTAGGAGAAGGGCTGTGCTGGATGCTTGTGTGTGCACATGTTGGTTGAGGGTAATGCCCCAGGAATCACAGTCCCACACACACACAACAGACCAGTGAGCTCCATTGCCCCAGTATTATTGGGCATCTTTCCAGTTTTACGTCAGCAACTCACCCCCATCTGCCCAACACTCTGAGGATCCAACAATGGCCACCTTTGTTCCCACAGGGAGACCAAGGGATGCCGCCAAACACTTACTCATAACAGCTTGGCTGTCATGACAAGGTGCACATGAAAAGCTGTGCTTGTGTTTGTTTGTGCATCCATTCACAAGATTTCCAATCAACCTCTCCCAATGTGACGGAACTTGCCCAAAAGTGCATGAGAACAACAGAGACAGGGTTCGCAATGCACACACAAACACCTCCCTCCACACCAGGTTTTACACAAGGTGAGATGTCTTTTATAGACAAACTGCAGTAAAGAACACGGACAACAGTGCCATTGTAATTGATGCTGGTGATTTGTGCTGCATAATTTCTCTACTAGCCTTAGTGTTGGACTACAACAAACTACAATCCATCGATCTACTAAAACAGAGACAGACCGCACTGTGGAGCTGCCAGCATCAAAACCCAACCTGCGTACAGTAAAAACATAAAGGTGAGCTTTATATATAACTGGCATGTGATTCTTCGGGATTTGTTTTTCTTGATAGCCTTGAGAGAGTTGGGGTCGGGGGGGTCAAAGCAATGTAAAAACTGCAGTTCAGTCATGTAAAGACCAACTTCCTGCGACCCATTTAAACTCTGAGGACAGTTCTGCTGTGAAGTTTGAGCTGCAGATCCAAACTAGACTTTAACACAGTTGTTGTCTATGGGGACATTTTTGCTAATTTAATTTCTGCCAACAGTGTGTTGCTACCTAAAGTCAGAGCACACTGATCCCGATTAAACTGCACGTCTTCAAGGTTTTTATGGGTTTTACAAAATCCCAGGAAGGAGAAATAAGAATATAAATGATGATGCTAAATCATTTTTATCTTTAATTTATTTATTTAATTAATTTTTAAACAGGAAAAGATTAAAAGAAATCGGGCCTGGCTCAGTATAATTGCTGTTTTACAGCAGGTTCCTGTTCCGCAGACATAAAAAACCGCAGATATCCATTAACACATCACATTAATAGACACACAGACAAAACACATTACAAAATACAAGCGTAGCAGCATTAACACGGCAAACTACTAATGGTGATTGCAAAAGAAGGTGTCCAACAGCTGACACGCATGAGTATTCTTAAAAAGTGCTCATGTTGAGATGGACTTTATATGTTGTGGAATGTCATTCCATGCTTTAGTATAAACATAGAAAAATGATCTCTGGCCATAACAGTTGTTTCAAAGTAGAAAGAGCTACATTATTGACACCATGAAAAACCTGAAAATACAATTTAATACTGCTGTATAAAACATAACTTTGAAAAGATAAAGCATTTGAAGAAAAAAGAGCTGCACAGTGTCCGTCTGAGAAGTTTGTTATGAATTTTATAGGCCCTATTGTAGAGCCTAGCTATGGGTTTCAAGATTTCATTAGTAGTAAGAGACCAGACAGGTAAACAGTACGACATAGTTGAAAGTATTATGGCATGAAGATAAGTGTTTGAAACAGATGCCAAATTTGATCCAATTTTGGAGAAAACATACGTTTTTTTGTTTCAGCTTAGTACATAAGGATTGCACGTGGTCGTGATAAGATAAATGAGAAACCAAAAAAATTCCCAGATATTTATAAGTAGTGACAATAGAAAGGAGTTTGTTTAAAAAAGTAAGCAGATTGGATATAATGAAATGTCTCCTAGGTGAGGAAAAATACTTAGTTTTTTTTTTTTATTAATCATCAAGCGATTTTCTTGTAGCCAGAAATGAAATTGCTGAAGATCTGCATGTAGCAGACTGTTGATAGATTCAATAGGTTCAGTAAATAATATTAATGTTGACATGGTTGATAGAGAAGCACGAAAGCCATGTTGGTTATCACTTAACATATTATTTACCTCTAAATGGTGAAGTAATTGGTTAAATAGCATTTGTTCAAGTAGCTTAGGAAAAAATTGGAAGAACTGAAACTGGCCAATAACTTGAACATCAGTCGGATCACCAGATTTGAAAATAGGAGTAATCAGTGCAGACTTCCAGGCAACGGGAAAAATGGACTGCGTAATGCATAAGTTAAGTAAGAGGTGAAATAACAGAATAAAAGTGCTGGCATGCATTTTCAAGAAATTTATATTTAACTTGTTTATATCACAGGCATGTGAGCTATTTAAAGATTGTAATATATTCTATAGGTCAGTCTGTGAGACTTTGTGTCAGTTCACTTTATCCTCTAATGTCTTTGACTCTGTCAGAGACAAAAATAAGTTTAAATTAGAGTAAATAAGTCAAAATGAGAGCAGATGTTGGTTCATTTAAAGCCAACGTTAGTTCTGCACATCTCCAACGTGTTTGTTGGGTTTTCACACGAAACAGAAATTCAGCAACATTCAGTCCAAAACATGCAACCTTCATCCAGACTTAGTTTTCTCTGCTCCTTCTTGAGATTCTGACAAACCCCCAACAAACAGCATCCTCAGTAACCACAAAACTGAAAGATGCAGATTTAACACAAAAAACAAAACAAAAAAAAACATTTCAAGTCTACAGCCGGAAACAAACGTTAGAAATATTTATGAAAACAACAGAAGAAATTATATTTTCAGGTCTGCAGAGCCTCGTAGTGAAGCTGTTCTCAGATCAGTTTTACCTTCTGCAGAGGAGACTCCGTCCTCAGCTGCTGCAGTTCTGCTGTTCCGTCTCCCTGTCCTCCGCCTCTGTGTCCTCCGTCTCTTTTTCTACCTGTCCTCTGACTGTTTCTGCTCCCGAGTCTGTCAGCTGCAGCAGACATCCTACCTCCTGTTGAGCTGCCACACACACACCCACACACACACACACACTTCCATCTGCAGAACCGTCCTTAAGCAGCTGCTCAACACGTTTCATTGTTTAAGACATGGACGCTGTAAAGATTTCTCAGATTCATCAATAAAAAGAACCAATGTGCGTTTAAAAATGTTTTTTACTTTGTTTTATTTCAGAATAATGAGATTTCTGTCTCAAAATCAATTCAAATAAAGACATTTCAGAGGATTTATGAAATCAGATCTGTTTATTGGAACACAATTCAAAACGTCATAGAGGAAACTAATTTAAGGCACGATCTGAAAGTTTGTTTTTAGATTTTTTTATCAACAGGAAACATAAAAGAAAAAAATTCTTCCACAGGTTTGAACTAGAGCGGTCATTTCTAACCCGGGCCTGAAGCCCGGCCTGGCCCGGATTCAGGCCTGGCCAAAATAATGTTCGTGGGCCGGGTCGGTGTTGTGCTGATGATACAATTTTATGGCAACATGGTTTGCTATACAATTTGGATCATCAGGTGCACGCGGCCGTTTGACCGTGCGCTGACCAGCTCTTTAAAGAGGTAACAAAAAGTTCAGTTAAGCTTCAGATGGACTACTGCCAGCGAGCCATCCAAAGCCCAACTGGACTCAGCCGCTGCATTCGCGGACGCACGCGGCCGACGACCCAATTTGCTGAATGGGTTTGAAAACAGGTGAGATCTCAAAATATCCTTGCAGACATGTCAGAGCAGGGTCCGTGTGAATAATGCAGAAAAAAAAAAATAAGATAATGCAGAAGCAGGGATTTAATGCACTTTGATGGCCATGAAACGGACTAACACCCCCTCAGCTCCTATCCATCTTCTGCCCCCTTTTACTCAGCCGCGCACGTCCGCCAACCGTTAATAACTATATTATAATAACTATAATATTATAATAACTATAATATTATAATAACTATAATAATCCGCTGACTCTTGTTAATAAACATGAAATCTTATATCTTCCTTTCTTTGAAATACATTTTTAAATCATGTCAAACTGATTTGCTTACAAAAGCAGTAAAAGCGTAATTAAAAATGTTGGGGGTTTTCGGGTTCGGACCTGTAATTACAGTTAATTCGTCGGGTCGGGTTCGTAAATAATGGCTATGGGCCGGGGCCGGGTCAGATTTTTTAGGCTCGAATGCAACTCTAGTTTGAACTATCAGCTCACCTGCTTTTAATCTGAAAGGGACCTGCAGGAAGTTCAGATAAGGTTGAATCTACAGACTGTCAGCAAACATCACGCAGTGAGTCAGAACTGAGGAACTCTTCATCAGTGAGTTCATCCCAAACGGTCTTGTGTCCAGGATCTTCTAGTTCTAGTCCTCCAGAACCTTCAGCATGTCGGGAGGATCTCGTCCACTTTTGCTGCTATGGAGATAAACTTACCTCCCCCTGAAACCTCTGACTCTTCCTCTGACTCTGGTCCATCTAAATCCAGCTGGAGATAAATGTCAAACCCACGTTGACACTTTGAATCCTTTACAACTAGTTCCAGAAGAATCTTCACAATGTTCTCCTTTGCAGGTTCATTCAGAAACGATCAGCCACGAAACAAGCCCACAGAACCACAAACACATCCAGAATCTTCCCTCAGACTGAAACCAGACTCAGATCTTCACCAGGGGATGTGAAGGAGGAAGATCCAGGTTCACTCCAGATCCTGGTCCTCCACAATGGCCCGCAGAACCTCCAGTCCTTCCACAGACACGGTGAGGCTGCCCACCACCTCGCTGCTGTCCTCCACGCCCAACACTGCAACAAACAGACACACTGAGGTTTAACACACACACACACACACGTGTGCATGCATGTGTGTGTGTGTGTGTGTTAAACCTCAGTGTGTCTGAACCTATGTGTCTGTGTGTGTGTGCATATCTGTCGGTGTGTGTGTGAGCGCTCACCCCTCAGCCTCTCCTCTGTCAGCTCCTCTCGTCTCTCCAGGATCTCAGGTATTCTCAGGTAGGCCACGCCCACATCCTCACACTCCCTCTCTTGCTCCTCCTCCTCCGGCGGCTCGCTGACCACCGTGAACTGGACTCTGTTCAGAAACGGGTCAGGTGAGTCACATCCACAGAAACCTTAACTCAGCCTGAGGATCAGTCCAAGTACTGATCCATCAGTAACTTGATCAGAACCATCAGAATAAAACGATCTATGATGTCAGTAAATAGAACCAGTTCTCTAGTTTATCATCTGTTTTAGTGTCGTCAGTTGAACAGGATCGGTCCGGTCCCATCAAACCGACCCGATGGCTTTGACTCCAGCCCAAACTAAATTCAGAGTTCAGTTTAATTCTGTTGAAGAAGTCTTTTAATAAAGACCAAATCTTTATTATTTTGTAGTCAGTGACAAACTGCAGTTTCTTCCTTTAACTGTCACTTTTTATTGTCTTAGCTGGGTCAGAAAGCACCAAGATCTCCCAGAACATTCAAACAGATCAGGACCAGTCTGACCGTGTAAGAGCAGAGACAGAACTGGACAGGTTGGACCAGTAAAGAACTGAGCCCCAAACTGAACATTTAAACTGATCTCAGGTGGAGCTGAGTGGTACGCATCATTTAAAACGTTCTGGGACCAATGAATTTGAGGGATGAGTAAAGCTGCATTAGTCTTCCTGTCAGCCGTCTCACTTCCTGTCTCACCTCTCCATCTGAGGGTTTCGACCCTGCAGGACGTCTCTCAGCAGCCGCCGCCTCGCCGCGTTGTTCTCAGCATCTACAGGAATCACTGCAGGACAGCAAACAAACAAACAAATAAACACCTGAGGTTTGAACTCATTTTCTTGTATTTGCAAAATGCCCATCCATCCGTCCTCTTGTTCTGGACTCATGTCTCGGGGACAGCATTTTAAGCAGGGAGGTCCGACCACCTCTTCCAGTCCTTCTGGGAGGACTCCAAAGTGTTCCCAGACCAGCTGAGAGTCTCTCCAGACCAAGTCTCCCAGTTAGACCTGTCCAGAACACTTTCCTAAGGAGGCGACCAGGGTCCATCCTTACCAGATGTCTGAACCTCCTCAGCGGTCTACTCTGGGTGTGGAGGAGCAGTAGTTCTACTCTAAGTCTCTCCTGGAGAACTGAACTTCCCTCTCTATCTCTAAGGAGAGTCCAGCTACCCTGCAGAGTTAACTCCTTTAGACCTCCTGGATCCAGGATCTTTCAGTCTCTATCCAGAGTTCAGAACTTGAGGGTAGGAACGTAGACCATCCGGTAAACAGAGAGCTTCTCCTTACAGCTCAGCTCCCTCTTCACCACAATGGACCGGCACAGCGTACACAAAACTGCAGAAGCTACACCGATCCATCTGTAGAGCTCATGCTTCCCTCACTAGAGAACAAAACCCTGAGATACTTGAACTCCTCCACTTGAGGCAGAACCTCACCCCCACCCCAGAGAGAACAGTCCAGACTGAGGACCATGACCTCAGATTTGGAGGTTCTGATCCTCATCCCCACTGTGAACCGCTTCAGTGAGAGCTGAAGATCATGGCACGATGATGCCAACAGAATCACATGATCCACAAAGAGAAGAGATGAATCCTGAGGCCACTGAATGTGTCAATGTTAAAGATCTGGCTTAGAAAAAGTACAAGTTTGACGAGAACCAGATGAGAATCTGTTGTTTACTTAACAAGAATCACACAGGAATCTGGTAAGCTTTTGATCAGTATGGGTCAAGAACCTCATAAGAATCTGATCAACATCAGACAGGGACCTAACAAATATTTGATGAGCATTTCACAGCAATCTGACGAAAACAAAAAGAAGAGTAAAAACTGGAAATCTGAGCAGAATCTGTCAGGAATTAGAGGAGAGTCTGTTAATCCCTGAAGAGGTTGAGCACAGCTGAAACCACAGACTTCAACATCAAACCAACACATTAGGATGTTTTCAGATCAAACTATGGGAGGAAAAGCCCTTGTTCCATTTCTTCTTGTCAAAGAATTCAAAATAATCAGAGCTGGTTGGGATGGTTTTCACACTGAGTTTGACCGTAACAGGAAGGGAGGTTTATTTGTCTGAAGCTGCTGACACAACAACATTTAGAGCTGAAGGATATTTATTCTTTTAAAAGCTTCACAGATAAATTTTTTCTTGTACTGAGCTCAGTCCTGAGGTTGAAGCTTCCATCCATCCATCCATTATCTTTACCCGCTTATTCCATTTTGGGTCACGGGGGTCGCTGGTGCCCATGTCCAGCAATCACTGTGCGAGGGGCGGGGTACACCCTGGACAGGTCGCAAGTCCATCACAGGGCCACACAGAGACAAACGAGACAAACAACCATTCACTCTCTCACTCACACCTAGGGACAATTTAGAGTTACCAATCAGCCTAACATGCATGTTTTTGGACTGTGGGAGGAAACCGGAGTACCCGGAGAAAACCCACGCATGCACGGAGAGAACATGCAAACTCCACCCAGAAAGGCCCCTGGACCGGGGTTTGAACCAAGGACCTATTCGCTGAGAGGCAGCAGCTCTACCAGTTGCGCCACCGTGCTGCCCAGGTTGAAGCTTTAAAAGGATAAATTTATCTACGGTAACTTTTTAAACCACCGGTAGTTATGAGTTTAACATCTCTGCTGCTGTGAGGGCAGAGCTGCACTGAGGGAAAAACCTTTGCTGTAGTTGTAGTTGATGCTCCGGCCCTGGAGGGGTTTGGGCAGGGACAGGGGGGTCTCCTCTGTGGGCAGATCCAAGAAGTTGTACTCCACAAACAGTCGGACCACGCTGTCGTCCCGCGCAAGCCGAGACTGCGGCGTCAGGCTCAGAGACACGACTTCCACCCGCAGCCGTTCCAACAACTGAAGATCACAACATCAGGAGAAAGTTTTGAGATTTTATTTATTTATTTATTTAAAACTCAGATGATGAAAATGATCCATCCGTTAACAAACACAAATTTGATTTTTAACTTTCAGAGTGAGTAAAAAGAAATGTTCTTCTGCATGGTTAGAAAATCTTTCAAGCTCCGCCCACAGACGCCATTCACTGCAAGCACAGCGAGGCGTTCACTGACCTTCCTCCTTGCAGATGGTCCCTGAACGATGCAGTCATCGCTGTCTGACTGATGTGACTCTTTCTGAAGGTCTGCAGCTGCCGGAGCCACCTGAACATCTGGAAACAACAACAAAACAACGGAAGAAACAAAAACAAACGCTGAATGTTGATACAACCATTTCCTGAATCAGCGGTGAGTTTAAGGTCTGTGGCGATTCGTATTCTGACCTTCAATGATTTCCTCAGAGATGTCGGAGTCATCGGAGAAGGACTGACCGCTCTGAACCACCTGTCCCTCAGAGACATGAGACTCTTCATCATCCTCCTCTTCTGTGGCTCTCTGAGGAGGTCTGGACATGACCTGTGAACCCAAACGCATCGTTTCCTTTTGTGAGAACCTGCAGGTTTCATTCAGCTCCTGAACATGAAGCAGCAACCCGTGACCTGTTGATGAGGAGGAGAACGTTCAGTTGGGATTTATATTTAGAGATGTTTTACCTTGACAGCAGGAGGGAACGTTGCATTCGGTTTGTCTGGAGAACTTTTGGCGGAGCTGCGCACGACAGACTGTTAAAAAAACAAACAAACAAACAAACGTCATAAAAACATCCAACTGACCCTTCAGGGTTTCAGTTATTCAGGTTTAAATCTTTGGAATAATGTGATGAAACAAATCCTGTTGATGCTCATGATTCAACCTGATAAACTGTTCCTGTTCCAAAGAGAGCCCGCTAAACACCTGAACAGGTGAACAGGTTCATGTTTATGTGGGTGTTGTCTTCTCTGTGGTAGGTTCAGGACTCACCGGGTCATCTGCAGGTGTGGTGTCCATAAATGTGACTCGTTTGGCAGCTGATCCGTCCTTCTCCTGAGTCTTCTGTCCTCTGAGTCTGGGTGGTTTCTCCTGATGGGTGTTAGGACTGAGCGTTAGGAGAGCAGTTGTTTGTTCTACAAACTGTAGTTACTCATGGCAGAACCAACGTTAGCATCAGTTTATTACTTTTATTCAAAACTTCACTAAACCAGAAATTAAAACTCCCCTGCCCTACAGTCAGCATGAAGGTCCAATAAAAATGGTTTGATTGGTCCAACTCATGTTACTTCTGTTGGTTTATTGTTCAATTCGCCTATAATCCTAAGCCTTCTTCAGGGGTCTCCACAGCGAGTCATCCTCCTCCATCTCACTCTGTCCTCACTCCAACTACCTCCATGTCCTCTCTAACTGCATCCATTTATCTCCTCTTTGTCTTTTTCCTGGCAGCTGCATTTCTAACATCCTTCTACCAATATACCCACTGTCCCTCCTCTGGACATGTCCAAACCATCTCAGTCTGGTCTCTCTAACTTTATCTCCCAGTTGTTCAACATGTGCTTTACCTCTGATGATCTCATTCCTCATCTTATCCATCCTTGTCACTCCTAAGGAGAACCTCAACATCTTAATTTCTGCCACTTCCAGTTCTTTCTCATGTCTTTTTGTCCATGTCTCTCTCTCCAAACCATACAATATAGCTGTTCTCACCACTGTCTTGTAAACTTTTCCTTTGACCTTTGCTGACACCCTTTTGTCACAAATCTACTGAAACTTTTCTCCATCCACTCCATCCTGCCTGGACTCTCTTCTTCACCTCTTTACCCCACACCCCATTTTCCTGGACAGTGGACCCCAAGTACTTGAAGTCCTGCACCTTTGTGACCTCTGCTCCTTGTAGCCTCACTGTTCCACTGGCCTCCCTCTCATTCACTCTTTAACTATGGTGACATCATCTACATCTACCACCCTTCATCACGCAGCCAGTTGATTTGTCACCAGAGCTCCATTCAGCATTCATCACTGTCCTCTGGCCTCACTCTGTCCTTCCTGGTGAACTGGCCCTCTCCACACTCCGACAAACTGGTTTCTGCTGATCTATAAATCCCATTTTCTTGAACCACAGATCTGCTCTAGCTCTTTGATTTTTATCCATACCTTTGGTCTGTACGATTTGAAGTTTGGCTGTTAGTTGTTTATATGTTCTCCTGCTGTTTTACCACTCTGTAGCTGCTGTCTCTTAGCCAGGCTGTCATTGAAAATGAGAATTTGTTCCCAACTGAATGTCCTGATAAAATAAAGGTCAAATAAAAAATATAATGAATAAAATAAATTCACACATGTACCACCTGTCTTGCTATGGCTCTTTCATTCCTTTTCTTTAAGTGTAACCTCCACCTCTCCAAGTTTTTTTCCACTTGTTCCCTGTTCTCACAATAGATCACAATGTCATCTGCAAACATCATAGTCCATGGGGATTCCCACCAGTTACCTTCCTTCTCTGCATCACGTCAGCCAGCTGTCTTCCTTTGCCCGTCATTGTCCCCACATTTAGAGTTGCCACCCTCAGTCCTACATTCTTGACTTTCCTCTTCTCCCTCTGTCTCATGGTGTTGCTTTGATGAACTAGCATGTTAGTTATGGTAAGATTGTTTTACAGCAGATGCCACAACCCTCACCGTTTACCCAGGCTTGGGAGCAGAACCAGAGAAACACTGGCTTCCGCTCTATAATGGCTGGTTTGAGACTCTGAACAAAGTATCAGTCATGGATAAATATTTTTTGTTTTTCTTGGGAGTAGGAATCTGTTTGAAGTAAGAAAAAATAACTAACACTGTATTATGAGTGATGATGCTCAGTTGGACAGATCTAAATAATCTGCAGCTCGAAGACAAACAGAGAAAAAGAAAGAGCAGATCTGTTACAGAGCTGCTCTTTCTTTGAGAAGTTTTATTCAGACATTTGTACGTTGTGACTAACGATGAAATCCTGAGAAAAAGAACATGAATGAACACTTAGCTGTGCACTGCAGCTAAATCAGACATATTTTAAGAGTAATTCTCAGCTTTATGTTATTTTATTGTTGATTCACCAGCCAAGCAGTGGTGCTGCAACATGTCAGCTCTTCATGGTCATGAGGATGAAGAGGATTGTAACAAATCGAACTGAGCTTACGTTGTCTTGCAGAACAAACCACTTAAACTCTTGACCTTGGCAGCAGCAGCAGAGCGAATGTTGCGGTCAACAAGACTTCTGTCTTCCTTCTTGCCCTGCAGCGAGACGTCCTTCGGTTCTGGGTCTGTCTTTGCTTCCTCCGTGCTCTGCTGTTCCTCCTCCTCCTCTGGAATAACTCTGGGCTCTTCAGCAGCTGTGATGACGCTTGGTGGAGGCAGGTAGGTCGACTTCCACCTCAGCGTTACTTCAATGCAGCCGGCGGGGAGTCCTGAAGGATCAACCAGCTCAAACACACCTGAGGACCCAATGAGTGAGTTAAATTAATTTCCTGTTTGAAGCGTCTTTCATTGGGTTCTGACCTCTCACACGAAGAACTTGCAGGTATGTGATGAGAAGAAACGGAAAACAAAGCTGATGTGGTCCAGTTTCAGAAATTCTTATGAACCAGTTAAACTTACCAGAGACCACCTGGTCTTGAGTCAGAGGCAGCAGTGGTACTCGGGCCTTCCCCAGGTATGTGTCGCTCTGCTCCTCTTTGTAGTCGAACACGTAGAACTGAAGCACTGCAGACCTCAGGTACTGGTCCAGATCCAAGTCCATCGGGACTGAGTAGGACTTGAGGTCATTGAACTCGGGGTTGCAGTGATCGTTGACGGTGGAGGTGGGGTAGTCGGGGAAGTTGAAGAACTTGTAGAAGACGTAAGGACTGGGCTGCTGGGAGGTTCTGGACTGGAGGTCTGAGCAGCGCTGGATGGTGATGGAGAGATGGTTCCAGCTGCTGTCTGATGGCTGCAGATGATGTTACACAGACAGAAGAAATAATGAAAGAGAAACTGAAGTGAAAGTTTTAAACCATCTGATAAAGTCGAGCCCGTCACCTGATTTATTAACCAACAACTTTATCAGCAGGTCTGTAATCAGATTACATAGGAAGCAGCAACACCACGTGATGGGGAGTACCTGCGGGTGTGGATGGAGGTCAGATTGGATGAACTCAGCAGCCTTCAGCTTCTCTCGGTACAGATGGACCGTCTCCATCACGGGGAGCTTCAGTCTGATCCAGTAATCCAGGGAGCCAAAGCTGCGGACCTCCTCGTTTGTTCCTGACAAACACAGACGAGTTTCAGGATTCATCCAGGAGGACTGAGCTCAGAGCTGCAGCAGCTCGTTCAGAGAGAAGCAGCAGGTTGAACAAATAATTCTCAGGTCGGGCGCCCCTGCAGCATCAGTTTAAAACACATGAATGTTTATCTTTTATAAAATATTAATAAAGAGATAATAATAATTAATTAATGAATCAGGAGTTTCTCTGGAGAAAACCTCAGGTTTCAAAGGTTGTTTTAAACGTTGCCTTTGGTTGCATTATGGATTTTTTTTTTTATCTTTGGGTTAGAACAACATTTTGGTGGTTTTTGTTTCACTGTAAAATAATTTAAAGATGGATACCTTTCTTTGTTCTGTACAGGACCAGTTTTATTGAGTCCAGATCAGAAATAATTTGGATCCTGTGGCTCTGATCAGTCCTTTTAGTTTGTGAAAGCTGGGTCAGCAGTCACACTACTTTGTGCTGTTTATAAATTAAAACATTAAGCTCATTCGGGTAAAAGTTAGAAACAAATAGTAACACCATAGTGATCATTGAGATCTCTTTAATCTTTCAATCTTTTATCTTCTTTTTTTGTTGTTTAGCCTTTAGCTTGCTTTTTAATGATTTTTAAGTCAGTCTAGCCTTTTACTAGTTTTAGCTTTTTTCAGCTCCTCACTGTGAGTCCGTTTGTTTTGTGCTTCATTCAGATGAGACCCACCGACCAGTGGGATGCTGCCGTGAACCTTCCCGTCACGCTCCGTCAGCTGCTGCAGCCGCAGTTGTCCCTTTGCCACGGTTCTCCAGTCCAGACCAAGCGCCTGGTGCAGCTCCACCGTGACCGAGCACCTGTGCAGGTAGTCCAGGAAGTCCTCGTCCATGCTCACCATGTACCTGGAGGTGTAACCATATTTGGGACGGCAACCCGTTGCCACCGGAGTGGCGTGCAGCTCGAACAGATAGAAGGAGTAGGTGCAGAAAGTGGAGGGATCTGCATCGCCCAGCGTCTGCAGGGCAGGCGGAGTCAGTGTGGCACCCACGATCTGGAGCTCCAGGAAGTTTTCTCCACTTTCCAGGTGAAGAGTTTCATCAGACTCGTCCTCCTCGATGTTGCCTGGGAGTTCTGGTCTGAAGACGTAGGTCTTGGTGCCATAAGCAATGTCTCTGAGCTGAGCTGAGGAGCAGAAACAGAACTAAATCAAAGCTGCAAAATCCAGGAATGTAACCAAAGAAACCACTTTTTTTTTGTTAAAATACAGAGTCGAACGACAGACGAAACCCACTGAACAAGCTGAAACTGAGTCGTTAAAGGTAAAAGTAGCTGAATGTCAGCTAAAAGCAGAAAGAAGCAAAATGCTAATTAAAAATCAAAATATACAAAACCCAAACCAAAATTTAAAAGTAGCAAAGAGCTAACTGAAAGCTACATGTAACAAAATAATAGTTAAAAGCTAAACTTACCAAAAGACTAAATGTAAACTAAAAGTAGCAGAACAGTGGCTAAAACTACCTACTTGTAACTACCATGCCCACCACTGCACCCTGTATTCACTGGTTAACTGGACATCATTAACTTCATGCAGACTCTCCCACTGGTACATTTTCATCTTTAAATCACTTCTTGGTCCGTTGCCTTCATACATCTCCTCCTACATGTCTCTTCGTGAGTGCAGCTACAGCGTGCGCTCTCAGGACATTATTACATGCAATGTTCCCTCAGTGAGGACTGAACTAGGCAAAAGGGTCTTCTCCTACTCCTGTTTCTTGGAATATCTTGCAAAAAGACCTGAAGCTCTCAACCTTGACCTCTCTAAACAGCTTTAAACATCTGTTAAGTTCATGGGAAAAACCAATGCAGACATGTTCCTGTTTTTAGTTTTCTATACCGCTTTACAACCTAGCTGCTTTTGTTTTTTTTTATACCATTTTCTTTTATTTGTTCTTCTCCATTTGTATGCTTTTTAATAATTGTCTACTGTTGTCATTATGCTTTGTTAAAATCAGGTCTCTCTTGTAAAAAGAGTCCCCGAGGCTCAATGAGACTAACCTGTATAAATAAAGTTTGAATGAAAAAAGCTGGAGTAGCCGAAAGTTTGCTACAAGCAGACAGTAGCTCAATAAAAAGTCAGAAAAATTTAGCTAGAAGCTAAAAGTAGTAAAAAGCTAACCGAAAACTTAATGTAAAAAAGTATAGCTAAAAGTTAAAAGTATCAAAAGACTAGCTACAAGCTCAAAGTAGCAAAAGCCTGGCTAAAAGCTAAAAAAAGCAGAATGGTAACAAAAAATATTTAACATCTGCCTGAAAGCTAAATGTAGTTGAACGGTAGCTAAATGCTGTTAGTAGGAGAAGGTGACTAAAAGCTAAGAGCAGCAGACAGGTGGTATAACAAAAAGTACCAGAATCGTAGCTAAAAAGTAAAAGTAGCTTAAGATAAAAGTAGAGGAGATTTCAGAAAGATGTTGTGATGCTGCTCAATAATGCAGGTAAGATGAATCTAAGAAGCTTGTGTCAGGTGCGTCCAGAGGACCTGACCGAACCTTGTTAGATTTCAGAAAAATGTTTTTGAAGGAACTAAAGAGATCTCAATGTATTTCAATGCGTAAAATATTTGTAAATAAGGTAGGTATATCAAAGTATAAAAGTTACAAAAACCTAAAATCTCCCGAATAAGCCAAACTTTTTTATATACACAGATAAAAAAGCACAAAACATGCAGAAGTAGTTGGAATGCAATAAATATATTGAATAATAAGAAACAGGAAAACAATAGTGTGAATGCAGCAAAGTTCATGCTCAATCATCCAGGTACCAGTGTGAATGCTAATTCAGCGTTCAGACAAATATTTGTCCTGAGTCCAAATGTTGACTCAGAACATTTGAACGGAGTCTGAGCTGTTGGACAGCTGAAACCACGGGACTCCTCTTAGAACTTGACAATAAGATCATCTGAACTTACATGAGAATGATAAAGTCTGACAGAGCTGCTCTGAAACTAAAGTTTATGTTTAGTAAAAAATATATGTTTTGGAACTAAAGTTTCCCTACTGTTCTTTCACATTTGTTGGTTTATTTAAAAGTTTTCCTAAACTGTTCTCTGTTCTCCATCTCATCATCTTCCAGCCTTGTTTCCAGCTGACTGGTTTGGACGGTTTGCCTCATACGTTAGTTTCTGTTCTGTTCATGTTTGCAGACAGAATCAGTCCCATGTCCTGAGGTTTGAACTGCGATCGGTCTGCCGTTCGGATGAAAATACCTTCCAGTTTGGTGATCTTTGCTGCCCTGGACTCCAGCAGCTGAGCCTGACAGGCCAGTTTCTGCTCATACTCGGTTCTGCTGCTGTTCATCCTCTGAACCACGACGTCCAGCTCCGCCTGATGACCAGCAGAACAGGAAACGGTCACGTTGGAGTCAATAAAGACTCAAGAACAAGAAACAAAGTATGAAAACTGTGACCCCTCAGACCTTTCCTTTTGTCTTTAAGGACTGTTTTCAACTTCTGAGCGTGATGATGCCACTATCTTCTGAGCTATCTAAATTTTTCATCATTAGAATAAATTGTTATTCCCACACACTTAAGTCTTCTTTAACCATCAACCATGGTATTTTTGTTTTCTTACAAACAGCATCTAAAGGACTCAGTTTTCTCTCAAATCCCATCAGAGGTCAGAGTGCACGCATCTAGACTCTCATCGACTTCAATTTTTAAACTCAGAAATTTGTTTTTCTTCTAATCCGAATGGGAAGGATTTATTTAACTCCTCCATAAAACATTTTAGAAACTTAAAAATGAACATGTGTGATGAACAGAACCGTCTGCTGCTCATGGGTCAAGACTTTGGGTTTTCACCCAGAGGCTGTTGATGTGGGGCTTAAAGACCTAAAGTGCTACCTGTCCTCTTTCTACTCCCCCAAAAAAGGCAGGAATCACTATGGCAGTGACTCAGCAGATAGTGTCTTCTATATTACCCAGCATGCTTTTCTTCTTTCTATGTTTCCATCATGGCCGCCCTTATAGACCCTGTAGAACCTCAGATGTCATCTTGTCTCTGATCGGACCTTTAATGTTCAGGAGGATTCAGTCAGAGGGTCGACAGGATTCAGGGTTTATAAAGTTAAACTGAAAGAGCAAACAGGAAGAAGCTTTGACCTAGAGACTCTTCAAAATAAGAGTTTGCCTTTGTTGTAGTTTAGATTATTACAAAGGAAGTCCTGCTGAGTGTTAGAGAAAAATGTTGATGGATGTTGATGCAACATTTCCTGCTGCCCATCTATGAATGTGATGTAAACGAGGATCAGGAAGATAAGTTTGGACCCCCCTCCTCCACCTTGTGGTCTTTGCTGATGCGGCTCTCCAGGTTCAGGAGGTTCCGGGTCTTCTCCAGCTCCTGGATGGTTTCAGCGTGAGCAGCTCGCAGCTCCATGATGGAGCTCTCTGTGCTGCTGCTCTCCTCCACCTCTGACAGGAAGCCCAGATCTCCGTTCTTCTGGGATTTACGTTTCTGAGGGGCGACACGGTGAGAGTGAAGTTCTGATGAAACAAAATAAGTGTTTAATTTCGTTAAGCCTTACTTTGATGAGCAGCAGCGCCTCGGTGAGCTCAGCCACGCTATAATCGTTCTCCTGTAAAAAACAAAGAAACAACATTAGGATGCTAGTTTTCACTGAATCTCAGGATTTGTTCTGGTTCTGAAGCAGCTCACTCTGCTGTAGAACTCCAGGCGGGTCTTCAGTTCCTCCACTTGTTGCTTCTGTTCCAGAAACTGAATGTGAAGTCTCTGATTTTCTTTTGTCATCTGCTCATTTTTGTCTGGCCCGCAGTCACAAACAAGCGTGAAATGATCTCCTGTGAGCTGCTGTCCTTCACATGAAGATGAACTGAACGACACCAGAATCAGTGCGACACGCTAACTCACCCCTCTCAGCTTTGATCTTGTCCAGGATTTCGTTTTTGTCGGCGAGGTCGGCATTCAGCGCCGTCTCCAGCTGAGCGATCTGTAACTTTAGTTGCTGCTCCTGAAGCTTCCACTTCTGCTGCTGAGAAACATCGAAGGCGCTGCGAACAGTGAATCAAATATTCATTTTAATACTTGATTGTTCTACTTTAAAACATTACTGGTATAATCAAATAAGAGTTAAAGTGTGTTGTTTTACTCCATAATCATTAAATAATAGGTATTAAGAAAAGCTGTGTGTTTTCTGTTCTTTGCAGACAGTTCTTGTAAGCAGACAGCTGGAAAGTGAAAACTCGAGAACTGCAGTACTTCAGCTCAGAATACAAGTTGCATTTTTCTGGAATATTCATGCTAAGATAAAACTAATTAAGCAGGCAGGCGGTATGGGCGTTCTTCTCTTTCTTCCATTCTGTGTGTCTTGTGTCGCTATTTTTCAGTGAAAGTTCTGTTACTCATCCTGATAACAGGAAAACCACGCCAAGGCCAAACATGTCGCTGTGTGGGAATGGGCAGAACAGTAGGACCTAGAGAAAGTCCAGCCCACCAGAGAAACTGACATTTTAACACTATTTAAAGTGGATTCAGGCTGGAAGTAGGTCAGTTCAGGCTTCATGAACCAGCATCAACTTTGTTGGCATTAGGGATAAATGTCTGAACCCAGAGACTCTTTGTGTAACCTTGTGTACACAATTTCAGTCCAGCACATGTACCACATGCAGTGCGTATGACAAATAAAGAAACTCTGACTCTAATTGCATTTATTTATGAAAACTGTTCTCGATCTGATCTGTGTAATAAAAATAGAGTTAATTCGAACCTCACGCCTCTGCCTTCTGAAACCAATAGTATTGAATGGGTTAAGTATAAGTATTGGAGTCAGATAAATGTGTGTTTTAATAACCCATTTTTTTCATCAACAGACAGAGACAGGATTGGCTGACACACCTGAACAAACACATCAGATTTTACATCAGCCAAAGCGCTGGCACTTCCTCGGTCCACCTGCACGTTTCATTTTGGTTGTTTAGAACCAGCTGATGGAAACAACAACCGTTTTACTCCCTGTCTAACACGGTGGACAGCCACTGCTCTCTTTTAGACAAACACAAACAGCGTAAAACTGCAAAACACTACACAAATTTCATAGACTTAAGTTTTTGTTTGCATTTTGCTCAGTGGAAATTAAAAATAAAGACCACTTAGCATTTTTGCCTAATTCTCTAAACATAAAAAATAAAAACAGAGATTTGTGGCTTCAGAGCAGCTGCAGAGAGAACTAAAATAGTAAACTATGAAAGTTGTTTTTAGAGTAATTTTAACTTGTATTATTGTAATTCTTAAACTAAGGTGACCCATGGGTCTGTAACAGTACAGATTAAAGAAGAATATGATACGAGTGTAAGAAATATATCCCCTAGTGAATTCATTTGGCTCTGTTCAATCTGATCAACTTCAGTCCAGATTAGTTGATCTGCAGTAACATTAAATACATTTTGGCTGACAGACCATAATAGTTGGGCATTTAAAAGAGCACTGCAATTTTATTTAATGCTGATTTTGCTTCAGATACATTAAGAGTTGTATTTACCACCAGCTAAAGTGGGAGGGGTTATTTTAAGCCAAAAGGAGGCGGAGCTTTATGCAGATGCTAAGAAAATTGACCAGTTGCTCTGATCTATTAGCATCCTAAAAGTTTTAAGACCTTTTTTGTTTCAGCTGACAGCTCTCTCGTTTCCTGTCATTAACCAAGCATGACAATTACAACCTGATTCTGTCCTTTTTCTCCTCGAATTTGAACTGAAAACAATTTTTAGTTGAAATAATTTTTGTAATTCTGCCTATAACTAAATTTAAATTCTTTAAGGTGTGTTTAACAAAGACAGAAGATGAATTAAATTCATTTGTTGTGTATTTGTTCTTGATTTCTGTAAAATAAAACAAGTGAATAAACATCTCTCATAAGTGAGAGATGGGTTTGTTCTCAGGTGATTTCAGGTAAACAGTTTCAGGTCTTCAGACTGTTTGCACCAGAAGCAGCTGTTTACCTGCTCACCTGTTAATCTGCTCACTTGTTTACCTGCTCACCTGTTAATTTGCTCACTTGTTTACCCGCTCACCTGTTAATCTGCTCACTTGTTTACCTGCTCACCTGTTAATCTGCTCACTTGTTTACCTGCTCACCTGTTCAGCAGTTTTTTATTGTCCTCCTTCAGCTGCTCTCTCTCCTGCTCCAGCTCACTGATCTGTTGCTGCAGCTGTAAAACAACAGGAAACAGGTAAAGTGAGGAGTGATTTGATGCAGCGGTAACTATGGTAACTGCTCAGCTGATGCAGATGTTTCACCTGCTCCACATGGATCTTGCTGAGGCTCCTGGTCTGCAGCTGTTTGTTCAGCTCCAGACTCTTCAGCCGCTCGTCCTTCAGCTGAGCTGACAGCTCATCCACCTTCTCCATTGCAGCGTCATGACTCACCTTCAGAGTCCTCTGAGCCTGGAAACCACAGGTGACATCATCTGGGTCATCACACCTTGTCTACATCAGTTTTTCTGTGAACCCGTCTCACCTCCTGCAGCTGCAGGAACCGTCCCTCCAGCTCCGTCACAGAGTTGGACCTGTCATCCAGCTGTTTCTGCAGCTTGATCATCGACATGTTGCTGCTGACGTGTGACCTGACAGAGAACAGCAGGTGAGACGTTTGTTCACAGCTGGGAGCTCCAAAAGTTCCGGCACACACCTGAGAGTTGATGTGTGCTGCTGGAGGTGCTTCTCATGCTCCGCCTCCTTCCTCCTTAGCTCCTCCCTCAGCTGCTCTGACGCTCCTTCCATCTCCTCCATTCGTCTCTGGAGAGATTCCACTTCGTTTTCTCTGGAATGCCACGAAACACAAAAGAACTTCAGCTCCTGACAACCAAAATTTTACAGAACCACTCAGCTGCTGTTCCTCTACCGGGCTGAACCTGGGTCAACCAGTGGTTCTGTCCTGATCAGCTCTATATGTAAACACAGTGAGCACAGACAGGTCAGAGCAGGTCAGGTGGTTCTTACAACACACCAGTACTTTCTGGACGTGAAGAACTCTAGAATGGAATAGATGCAAAAAACATAAAAAAGAAACTAAACAAGAAAACAACAGCATGAACGCTGAATCAGCGTTCTAAAATGCTGACTCATCTTTCACAGAATATATCTGCACAGACTCACTGCTGCGGTTTGGCAGCAAAACTCACAGGTTCCGGATCTCGGCCCTGGCTTCCTCCAGCAAACTGTGTCCATATCGAGGCAGCAGACCTGTCGGAGGTCTTCCAGCTTCGTCCAGACTCCTCAGACCTGCAGGAGACAAAGTCCAGCTCGGCTCAGAGAGAACACATGTCCTGTCATGAACTCTGAGTTCAGATGGTGATTCTGTTGGGAATAAAAAAACTGAACGTGGACAGTCTGGACTCACTTCTGGGACGCATTTGAGATGGAGAGGACATGTTGTCTCTGAACTTCTTCACCCCTGAATTGACCCGGGGCAGGACGTGTCCATACGGCGACGGCCTATGGCCCTGCGAGCTGAGGAGCTGCTGCTTGGCCACCAGAAGGCGTTGTTTCAGCCCCCCGTTCTCCACCTGCAGTCCCCTGACTTTCTCCTGGAGCTCCTCCATCATCTCCTCCATCTCTACGTCTCGGAGTCTAGAGGGGGGCTGGACTCCTCCTGCAGCCAGCTGCTCCATCCGTCCCCGGTCCTTCACCAGCCGCATCAGCTTCGTGCCCAACCTGGAGGGTCCAGAGAGGGGTCAAAGGTCAGAGTTAGACTGACAGCTGGGTGAATCTGCAGGTTTAGTTGTTTTTTAAGATGTTTGAGTGATGTTTGGTGTTTGACTGGCTGCATGATGGGAAAAGTAATATCAAGTATTTCACGTCATTAATGTCTGAAACATTTTTAGTTTAAAATGAAGCTTCAGCCTGAAGAATTCAGGAAAACGTTTTATCTTTGTAAATAAAAATGCATGAAACTTAAAAAAATGGAAAAGCTTTTAAGAACTTTTTTTTTTTTTAAACTATGAAGCAGGAACACTCAAAGTTCCCATACAGTGGGAGACCCTGAACTTAACAGTTTCAACTTTGACCTCTCTCAGCATTCCAACATACTTTCTATTTTGAAACTCCCAAGTTTTAACGGACTCAAATGATCAGATTGTAGAGATTCAATTCAATTCAATTCAAAAATACTTTATTAATCCCAGAGGGAAATTAAATTAAATTAGGTGAGGATCTTTTAATGTTTAGGTGCAAAACTTTTTTGTAAGTTTACCAAAGATGTTTGGTACATTTTGTTCTCATGCTTGAGGTATTTTTCTTTTAAACACGAAGCTCATTTGGTTAAACTGTTCCTGTTTACAGTAAAATAAAATAAACATGAGCTTTAAAGCAGGCCCAGCTTTTTACTGACAAGTTGCATAAATAATCTGCAGTTAGAATGTCTTTTTGACACTGAAAGATTCACAAAATATTTTATATTTTGTTTCTACTTTATTAACAGCTGGTTTTGTAAGATGCTACTCTAGGAAACAACTTTCATTTTTTATTTATAATGTAAGCAAAAAGAACTCTGATCATTTAGACCTGGCAGAGAGGCAGAAAAATACGTTTATAATGAAGCGTTCTTCTTGTGAAGTTCTACAGTTTCTTTTACAAAAACATTTTTTATTGAAGTGATGCTGATGAAAACACTGAGCCTGATGTGTGTGTGTTTGTTTCAGGTTACCTTGTAGGGACCAATTTTACAAAAAAATCATGCATTGTGGGAACCAACTACTCTTTATGGGGACCAAATCCAGGTCCCCTTAAGGAGAAGTCTCTTTGCAGGGTTAGGTTTAGGGCAAGGGTCAGGGTTAGGCTATAGAAAATGAATGGAAGTCAATGCAAAGTCCTCAGAAAGTAAGTTTACAATAATATGCACACATGCATGCGTGCGTGTGTATCTCACTTCCTGATCTTGTCGTCCTGTTTGTGGACATGCTGTTTAAGCTCCAGCGTCTCCTCGTGGAGACGCAGGAACCGGTCCTCCAGCTCCTCCCTGGACACCTTGGAGATGTCCTGTAGCGTCCTAACATTCTGATACATCAGTGGATCTGCTGGCAGAATCAAAGTACTAACACTTTTACAGACAAATACACAGTTGACAGCTGAAGCATCTCTGTATAAAATTTAAAACATTTTTGAGGACATTCAACAAACACCTTTTAAATCAAACACAACAAACAATTAATTATCTTTACATAGAAAACTGATCAAAAACTGTGTTAAAATTTCTTCAAACCTTTCAAATTATAAGTGCAAGTTAGTTTACAAAAGGCAAACTTTTAACAAATCAGGAAAGTAGCCTCAGATTTAACAGGCAGGTGGAAACAGGAAGTGAAACAAGACAGATCTGATTTAACAGGCAGGTGGAAACAGGAAGTGAAACGTGACTCACATCAGATCAGATCTATCAGGTGGAACACCTGTTGTACAGGTAGCAGCCTACCTTGTGGAGCAGCAGTGAGTCTGGTCAGTTTGGCGGTCATGTCTCTGACTGGAACGTCTGCAGCAGTCTCATCAAGCACACATGACATGTTTCTGTCTGAAAAAGATTTTTTAAATAACTAAGTTAAATCTATTAATTGGCTATTTACAGTCCATCCATTTAATCCATCCATCATCTATTTATTTTATTTATTGTTTATTTGATAGGGACAGATACAAGAAACAGATCAAGACCATCTAATGCCGGCATCACAGTGTATATAGCTAAAGCTAATTCGCAACGCCCGTCCCTAGATGGACCTTTAAATGAAAAGTTAAGATCAACAGTAAATACAATAAAATGAAGAAAAAAAAATAAAACAATGTATTTAAAACTACCGAATTAAAACAATTACAATATTTAAAAGTGAGTACAATTCTGGTTCGTCTTTAGCCAATTCTTAAGCTTTGAAGTGAATATTTTAATATCTATTATGGTCTTAAAATCAGATGGTAATGAGTTCCAAAGCTTACAACTCCTAATAGAGAAGGCTGTCTATCATCCACCCATCATCATCATCATCCTCCCTACAACAAAATTATGAAAATGTTAAGAGCTCAAAATAGGCCTAAATTATTTAAAATAAATAAATGAAATTAACGTTCTAAATTCTGTTAAATCGGATTTATATGTATCTTGGAACCGTCTGAGATGAACTTGACTTTAAATAAATTTAATGTCTGCTGAAGATGTGAAATAATGCTAAACTGAGGGAACATAATAATTTTTTTGGTTTATAACTTTTTCCAGTGACTTCAGAAGAAACGTTACATTTAACAGAGAGCGCGAAAACACGTCGCATCGTTAAACCTGTAGCTCACAGTGAATGTTTGCGTTTTCAAAACGGTTTGTTGGGATTTTTCTCTTTGCGCTAAGCTAGCAGAAGCTAACGAACTCACCGGACGTTTTATTTACAGTCATACATGATAATTTTAACATACATGACTCCATGTTTATCATCTACATATAGTCAAGTTATTCAACTCATTTTTAAAACGTTTATTTACCTTTGTGTGGGACTTCTTTCCGTTCAATGACTCGGTTGCTACTGAAAACTTCCCTTCATCATGTCGCTATGGGACAACAACGCATGCGCACAGCACAAAAGACTTGTGGGATTTGTAGTTTTACACGAACCACTGCTTTTTGCCACTGCAGCTGATTTTAAATGTTTATTCTTTTAACCAAAAAAGTTGTATGTTATTTTAAAAATATTTTTCACCTATAAAGCGAACTGGAAACCAAAATAAATAAAATCAACACTTTGACTGAGTGTTTTTCAGTGGGTTTTGGTGATGGATCCCTGAATATTCATGGGTATTTCCACTGTAGTTTTCATTGAATCTCCTGTGTTTTCCATCATGTTTAGTCCATGACAGCCTGGCGGTCTGAGAACTGACTGAACACGCAGGCCTTTATACGAGTAGCATGGCTCAGAGAAGACCTGCTGCAGGACGTTTGACAGGTTTGCTGTCAGACGCCTGTCAAGAATCAACAATGGATCTAATTTAGCATTCTGAGATGAGCCAGCTGGCTGGAAAGATGAGTTCCCTCCGTATGTCAGAGTCTCGGTTTGCTGCACGGCAAGCACTGGACCGTAACAGTCTCCCATCACTGCTGCTTCTTCCAGCCATAACCTTTGACCCCTCATCCTTTTCTCAAAGCCGAGGCGAGCCTGAAATCTGTCAGAGTCAGCCCATCGTTGAGATTCATGATGCCCACCAACCTTTTGTTAAACAGGCCGTGCCAGCAGCCGTACAGCTGTCAGGAGTCGGATCAGACGAACGCGGAGGAGGCCCTTCTCACCCCCACTCTCTCATTGTAGTTTAGGTAGATGTCCAGATCTTCTCACCATATTCAGATGAGCTCCACAGAGAGGGAGGGAACAGGTCTGGTTCTGGTACTCTTCAGTTTAAAGAAGAGGCATTTATTAATGACTGGAGAAAATACATGACAAGTTGAAAACAATCAGAAATCAACTAAACTAACATTTCCTCTTCTGAGAGGAAATATGAAAATTTTATGTAAAAAAATAAAATAAAAGATTTATCTTCTTCTGAGAGTCTTGTCGAAACATGACGTCTGAAAACAGGCCATCACAAAAAGAAATACATGGAAGGAATTAAAACAACAAACAAATGCCAGATGCATTGTGGGTAAAAATTACATACAGAATCCTTGAAGAGTAGAACATCTGAGCTTTTCCTCTCTGAGCTTCATCATCACATTTAATCTCTGAAGAATCCCAGACCTGACACTAGGTGGAAGCATATGACTGAGACGATGAAACTCCTCCTCCACCCTCCTCCACCTCCTCCTCCTCTTTAGAGAGACTTTTAACCGATGATTAAAACTGCTGATTATTTTCTGCATGAATTAAAACGCTAACTTTAATGTGCACATTTAAACTCAAACAGCAGAACATTAAATAATCTGACCTCTCATAATTTAACCAAAAGGATTACATAGGTTTTACAGGAATAACTAAAGTGCCTGAAGGAAACACACTTCAGTCAGTCTAACAACAACAAACAAACAAGCAAATAACCAGACACATCAGTAAAAATTATTTTTTCCACAGACAACTAGGTTTAATTGTGTCCAGTTAAGTACCAAATTTAATCCTTCTCAAAAGGCGGGCAATAATGTTTTTGCCTGTGTTCATGGATCTATCTGTTAGCAAAATATCTCATGAACCACTGGATGGGTTTTAATTAAACTTTCAGAAACTAATTATTGTTTTTTCATCTACAGCTGATTAGATTTTGGAGTTAGCCACAGCTACTCAACTTTATAAAACGCAAAAACGGCTACAGTTCAGTTAGTTTTATAGATGTTGTGTGGGATTTTTTTTGGTGTGGTAGTAGCTGAGAGTCATCCTCGATACTGTACATCTTGTTATTTTCAAGGTTTGATAAAAATCACAACAACTTGAATTTATTTCTCAACAAGAAATGAGCCTAAAACTTGGGCCTGGATTATTATAATAATGTATTTCATATAAAAACAACTCTTTCTTGATTCTATGGCAGGTCAGGATGTTAATCTCCCGCTCTGGGCTGAAAATGGGCCGTGCATCCCTGAAAACGAGATGTTAACCATTAACACAGTGACAGACAAACTGTAAACATCTTCTGACACTCTCAGACAAATCCAACCTTCAGGTCTGCAGAGATGAATCATGGGAAATATCACACCTGTCCTAGTTTTAAAGATGAGAGCGTTCTCGTCGCTTGATGAAAACGATGCAGCGTTTGGAGCGTTCAGACGAGACCAGCAGGTTCTTCTTCCTGCTTCCTGCCGTCTCAGAGCGATCTGCAGCTGAAATGTTTCATCTCTGCCTCCTGGGGACGATGATGGAAGGTTTGAAGCAACACAAAGGGTGTCAGTTTAGAAGAAAAACACTTCAAACTGAAGACGATTAAACTTTGAAATCTTTAAAATGCTCCCTGCTGAATTGTCTTCTGAGTAAAAAATAAATAAAGAAACAAACAAAAAGGTCATCAGAGAACAGAGTTTGGTTCTGCGATGAGACAGACGTGTGTTTATTTACTCTGCTGTCAACATGTCCACTCGTCTCCTCCTCGTCCTGTCTCTGCGTCTTAAAGAGCTCGCTCTGAGACGTTCAGACGGAGACAGGTGTAATTACCTGTCGGCCTGGAGAGCATTCGCTGCGTTTTTACCTCGCTGACGTCTGATTTACAGTCGACACGAGCTGCAGCAGCAGCGTGTCACATAAAGGGACAGGAAGTGAGTCAATTCAGTCGTTTTTTATGTTTAAGCGCAACAAACATTCAGATGAATCAGAATATTTAAAGGTCAAAGCAGTGACCTCACGGCTTGACGTCACATCTTCATGTCAGAGAAACATCTCTAATCATAAAAACTCTGTTTCAGACGTGCATTGGCTTTAAATAAATGTATAATTCAGCCCTTTTCTCAAGCAGATACCAAAACGTTTCGTGCGAAAGGAGCAGAGACGCAGGAGGAAAATCAAGGAAGTCTCAGCTTCTAACGTGTCAAATCAAGGTCCGAGGGCCAAATGTGGCCCCTGTTAACATTGTTTCTGGCCCACAAGGTGATATTTTAAAAGCAAAATATTTGTATTACATTTCAATCCATCCATTTATGATCATTACCGGCTTCTTTCTTTCTGGGTCACAGGGGTCTCTGGTGCCCATACCCAGCAGTCATTGTGCGAGAGGCGGGGAACGTCTGGACTGGTGTCCATCACAGGGACACAGAGACAAACAACCATTCACTCTCTCACTCACACCTAGAGACAATTTAGAGTTACCAGTCACCCTAACGTGCATGTTTCTGGTCTGTGGGAGGAAACCGGAGTACCCGGAGAAAACCCACGCATGCACGGACTGAACATGCAAACTCCACCCAGAAAGTCCTCAGCTGGTCATCGATCCGGCGACCTTCATATAAAAGCGAAGTTTTGGAGCTACTACAGATAATTTTTTAAAACTCGGTTCAGGTTTCTTCCCTTCAGCCATCTCTTGCTGGACACTGGGCCTGAAAAGTGTCAGTTTTGTCCCCATGTTTGTTGTTTTGTTTACAACTGTGAGCTGAAATCATGGCAGAAACATAAAAAGACTCATTTGAATTAAAGGTGCTTCAGTGTTTATTCACTGACACACTTGATTAACTTCAGATTAAAGCAGAAGTCTGTGTGTTTGTCACAAATAATCCCATTAGTGTCCTGGTTTTGTTTAATCATTTAGTCGGGGGGGGGGTCAGTTACCTCAGAGGGTAAACGGATCAGAACAGAAGAAGCTCTCTTTTTGTTTCCTGCCTCATTGGAAGATAAATCCTCTGTGCCACCTCACTGCTTTGTGCTGAATGCTGCGTTCGCTGACTCTCAGCTGAGCGGGAATAACGAAGCGTTACAATCAGATAAACTCCTCTCAGTTATTCTGAGGCGTCCAACAAAGCGCCTGCAGCCGGGGTTCCTCTGCACTGCCGGCTTCACCCGGCTGCCGTTAATTATTCAGATGAAAATCAGGATTTCATCAGTCCAGCAGGTTCTTTAGACTCCAGGGCATCAGAAACAAAACAAGCTCCTGATTTATTGGTTTTTACTCTGATTCAGGGTTTTAGGAACAACAGGGAGGCGGTTTGGTCTGAAAACAGAAGAATTTCTTCAGCTAACAGTATTTTTAATCTGTAAGGAGGATTTTTAACAAACAGAAACATGGTTTTACTGATATGGGAAGAAAACTGATGCACTTCGGTATACGAACTCCGAAGACTTGGATCAGATTCACAGTTTGTTCAAGTCGACCCGGTGAGTTGGCGGACGCTTCTTCAAGGAAATAACTGGAGAGTCAGAAGTGTTTCTGTATAAAAGTTTTTTTGTTTTTATTCCCCCCATGAAACTTCAGCTGAGGAACGATGAAAGTTCTGAACGGTTTGTATGGAACACCAGGAGCATCGCTGGACATAACATGTTTGTGAAAATAAAAAGTAAATATAACAAACACTGGAGTAAAAGAAGAAAAAAATACATAATGTGCAGAACACCGTGGACTTTGAGGATAAGGTGAGGGATGTCGTCATGGAGACTGATGGTCTCTTTTGATGTCACATCACTCTTTACGTGCGTTCCTGTTGATGATGCAGTAGAGGTGGTCAGTTTAAGATTAAAATCAGACACCACTCTGCAGGACCACGCTCTCAACAGAGCAACTGTGTCGACTTGAAACTGTGCCTGCAGTCAACCTTTTATCACATATGGGGAGCAATATTATAGGCAGAAACATGGGTGTGCTATGGGGTCTCCAGTTTCTCCTATTGTTGCCAACCTGTACATGGAGGAGGTAGAAAAGAGCCTTGACGTCCTTTTCAGGGACACCACCAAGTCATTGGTTCAGGTATGTTGACGACACCTGGGTTAAAATTAAATCTCAGGAAGTCCAACATTTCACTGCTCACATGAACTCTGTGGATAGTCTTTGTTTACTCATTTAAAAGTAAATCCTTGTGACTAAGCTCCTTGTTTACGGCCATACCACCCTGAACACGTCCGTCTGATCTCGGACGCTAAGCTGGGTCGGGCCTGGTTAGTA